TTGACGCGCGCACCGTCAAGGTCACCACCCTGCTGGACGCCCTCAACGACATGGTCATCGTGCCCGAGCGCAAGGTGGGGGCCGGCCGTGGCTGTGGGGGCACAGGGGGCGCGGGCGGGGCTGGAGCCGCGCCTGAGCGGGAACGAAGGCCCTCCTTGACTTGAGAATGGTGTCGTGCTGTTTGGTCCCGGCACGTCTTTGGGGCGGGGAGCCGCCTGCAGCTGCGGACTGACCGGTGTTGGCTGTGCGCAGATGCGCAGTGGAGCCAGGGGGTCGCCACGCAATCAGTGCGCCTGCCAGGGCGGCGCGGCAGGCAGCCTGGGGTCCCGCCTTTGCCGTCGTCCTGGCTCCAACCCAAAGCACCAACCGCCTCGACCCTGCCAACGACTGCCCCTCACCAAACCCCTCCAAAACCCCCCGCCCCGGCCAGACCGACGCGCCCCTGCGCGTGCCCATCTCCGGCGCCTACAAGATCAAGGGTGTGGGTGACGTGCTGGCCGGCCGCGTGGAGCAGGGCGTTGTCAAGCCTGGTGATGAGGTGATCTTCCTGCCCACCCACACCACCGCCAACCCCTGCGTGGGCAAGGTGTTCACTGTGGAGATGCACCACAAGCGCGTGGACAAGGCGGGGCCGGGCGACAACGTCGGAATGAACATCAAGGTGGGGGCGGGGCGTGGCGCGGCGCGGCGCGGCGAAGGGCGCGCGGCGCAGCGCTGTGGAGCCGTTCCGAGGATGGGCGGGGTGCTGGTGATCCTGGGGCAGCCGACTGGCCTGGCGGGAGGGGAGGATGTATGGAGCCGCTTTTCGGCACAGGCGTTCCCCGCATCGTGCTTCCTTTCTGTACATACGCACCCGCCCCAGCCTTCAATTCCACCCACTTCGCCAGCGTCGCGGCCTTGCATGTCTCGGCACCCCGCCCGTGTCGCACCTCGCATCCGACCTCCGCCCCCCCTCCACCCTGCGACCCCACCGCTCCACCCCGAAGGGCCTGGACAAGGGCAACATGCCCCGCACCGGCGACGTGATGATCCTCAAGTCCGACCAGACCCTCAAGCCCTGCAAGGACTTCACCGCCCAGATCCAGACCCTGGACATCCCCGGGGAGGTCAAGGCCGGGTACAGCCCCATCGGTGCGCCGCCGCCCGGGGCACGGGCGGGGGGGGGGAAGGGCAGGCGCCGAGGCGGCGTGCGCCGCAGGGGCCGTTGTCCTCGGCTTTGGGGTAAAGGCGGTTGGTTCCCTGCTGAGCGCAGCATTTGCTGCCCCTCCATGGCCTCAGCGCGGCTCGGGCGCAAGATGCTGCATCACCTCCCTAACTCCCGCACCCGCACCATGCCAGAACACCCCCTCCCTCCCCCTCCCGGCCTCCCTCCCGCTCCCGCGCCCGGGCCGCACCGTGCCGCAACATCCCCCTCGCTCACCCTCCCCCTTCCCCAGGCTTTGTGCGGTGCGGCCGCTCCGCCTGCAAGATCACCAAGATCAGCTGGAAGGTCGGCAAGGAGACCGGCGGCAAGAAGCTGGACGCCCCCCACGCCCTCAAGGCCAATGAGATGGCGGAGGTCGTCTTCGAGCCCTGCCAGCCCCTGGTGAGGCGGCGCGCGGCACGGGGCCGGCCAGCGGCCTGCGTGCGTGTGCAGAGGCGGGGCAGGCAAGGGCGCGGCCGCGGGGCGCGCGAGCGGCTTGAGCCGCAGGGAGATGATGCGCAGCGGTGGCGTGACGCCAACCCACGCGGCGTTGGGTGCGGTGGGCGCAAACTAGGCGTGGGAGCTCTGTGCAGACGCCGCGATGGGCGGCCGCAGGCGCGGCTGCCGGCTGTACGCCGCTCCCTGTGCGTCCTC